TCTTATTTTTATTGTCTTGAAGAATTCGTATAAAATTAAGGTGATATATTTCTTCAAAATTTTTGTAGAATTGACCTGTATATCCATGTAGGCCTGGTATTTTCTTTGTGAGACTGTTTTAAAATACTGCTTCAGTTTAATAGTTAAGGGACTATTGTGGTTCTTTATTTCTTCTTGAGTTTGTTCTGGTAAGATGTATTTTTTAAAAAGATTTCTTCATTTCAGCTTAAATTTTCAAAATCATTTCATATGGTGGTTATTAATAGTCTTTTGTTTTTAATCTTATTTTATTTTCAGTTATATTTCTGATTCCTAGATTTCTCACTTGCGTGTTTGTGTGATAGTGGTTTTATGTATTATATTAGCCTACCACTCTTTATTATTTCATACTTTTATTAGGGTAGGAACCTGGCTAATCTTGTTTCTCCTTTTTGCCACCTTCAGTCCTTCCTGTAAATTGACGTAAACTGAATCTTTCTGAACCACTGTTTTGATTATTTTATTTCTGTATTCAAAATGTCTTACTCTTTGGATAAACTCCTAATTCCTCAAGGTCAGTGACTTAACAAGGTAAAGAATAACCCCCACTGTGACTATAACCACACTAGTACAAATGACCAATGTGCTCATTGTCTCTTGAACAACAAGCACATCAAACATCTTAATTTGTTCTTTTGTTCAAACTGTTCTCACTTTTTAAAATGAATTTACTTCTCTATTCTCTAGCTCCTACCAAGCTTTCAAACCCCTATTAAAATTTCACATTTGTAAAAAAACGTTCTCTGATACTCCAGTATAAAATGATTTTTTCCTTTACTATTTTATTTTTCTGGTGTTCATCCCTTTTTTCTGTGTATCTTTCTTTATAGAGTCTTCATGAGCAAAACATTTATATTTTTTTTCAGTATCACTTTCTTGTGGGAAAGCTACTGTTACAATCTCAAACTTTTTCCTTGACTATTAAAAAAATTAAAAATTTATGAATTTATATTGCAGTAGCTATGACTCAATGAAGATTGACAATAATTTTTTTGTGTTTAACTTAATATATATATATATATTTTGTATACTTTAAGTTCTGGGATACATGTGCAGAATGTGCAGGTTTGTTACACAGGTATACATGTGCCATGGTGGTTTACTGCACTCATCAACCCATCATCTACATTAGGTATTTCTCCTAATGCTATCCCTCCCCTAGCCCCCCACCCGCCTCCCTGTGCCCATATGTTCTCATTGTTCAACTCCCACTTACGAGTGAGAACATGCGGTGTTTGGTTTTCTATTCCTCAATGTTCTCACTGAGTGGTTCGCACTCAGTGGTTCTCAGTGTTCAACTCCCACTTACGAGTGAGAACATGCAGTGTTTGGTTTTCTATTCCTATGTTAGTTTAGTGAGAATTCCTGTGTTAGTTTACTGAGAATGATGGTTTCCAGCTTCCTCCATGTCCCCACAAAGGACATGAACTCATCCTTTTTTATGGCTGCATAGTAGTCCATGGTATGTAAGTGGTCTAACATTGATGGACATTTGGGTTGGTTCCAAGTCTTTGCTATTGTGAATAGTGCTGCAATAAACATATGTGTGCATGTGTCTTTACAGTAATGATTTGTAATGCTTTGGGTATATACCCAGTAATGGGATTGGTGAGTCAAATGGTATTTCTAGTTCCATATCCTTGAGGAATTGCCACACTGTCTTCCACAATGGTTGAAGTAATTTACACTCCCACCAACAGTGTAAAAGCTTTCCTATTTCTCCACATCCTCTGCAGTATCTGTTGTTTCCTGACTTTTTAAATGATCACCATTCTAACTGGCGTGAGATGGTATCTCATTGTGGTTTTGATTTGCATGTCTCTAATGACCAGTGATGATGAGCTTTCTTTCATATGTTTGTTGGCCACATAAATGTCTTCTTTTGAAAAGTGTCTGTTCATATACTTCGTCCACTTTCTGATGGGGTTGTTTTTTTCTTCTACATTTGTTTAAGTTCCTTGTATATTCTGGATATTAGCCCTTTTTCAGATGGATAGATTGCAAAAATTTTCTTCCATTCTGTAGGTTGCCCGTTCACTCCAATGATAGTTTCTTTTGCTGTGCAGAAGCTCTTCAGTTTAATTGGATCCCCATTTGTCAATTTTGTTTTTTGCTGCAATTGCTTTTGGTGTTTTAGTCATGAAGTCTGCCCATGCCTATGTCCTGAATGGTATTGCCTAGGTTTTCTTCTAGGGTTTTTATGGTTTTAGGTCTTGCTCTTAAAATTTTAATCCGTCTTGAGTTAATTTTTGTATATGGTGTAAGGAAGGGGTCCAGTTTCAGTTTTCTGCATATGGCTAGCCAGCTTTCCCAACATAATTTATTAAATAGGGAATCCTTTCCCCTTGCTTGTTTTTTGATTGACTATAATCTATATAGGCAGTACTTTAAGCTATTTTTGTATTATCCCTCCAGACATCTACTCTTCTTTTGTATAAGCTTTGAAAAGAAATTATTCACTAGTCTGGGGATTACAAAATCAAATGTCTTCAGTATCAGGTTGTCATCATGAATGTGTGAATTGGATTGTGTGTAAGAAATAGGGAGTAGAAGTGTCCTGATTAACTAAAGACTATATATCCTGGCAAAGGAATGCAAACCAAACTCTTAAGGTTCTGGGTCAGTCCTCCTTGAGACCCTGTGCTCTAGCCTCATTTCTATTGAACTCTACTGCTTTATTTTAAAATATCTTAAAAGCGAGAGTTAAAGTAGGACACTTAGGATAAGCTAAAGATTTTTAAAGTTGAGAACTACCTAAATAGTTCATACTGCAATAGATTTTTTGTGACATGAGTTAAAGTTCTTTCAAATAGAACTTTATTTGACTATATATAAGATTATTTTTATGTGAGATTTATGAGGACAAGGACCACATCTTTCTTATTCACTATTCAGCATTTATTACAATGTCCGGCACATAGTAGTTGCTCAGTAAGTACTATTTGAACGAATGAATGAATGGCTATGCACTTTAAAATTTTTTTTTCTGTTTTTTATTAATTTTGTACTAGGTATAGCATAACCACTTGATGGCACTAAACTCATTTTAAAACTTGAAGACAATATTCTCATACCCTTGTACATTGTAACTTTTCTTCTCACACACACATACAAAATGAGCTTTAATATATCATGGACAGTGTAAATTATTATTGACATCAAAAAACCTAGTAACCACAAGAATTTTTTCTACTTCTTAAAATCCTAAAATAATGGATTACAGATTCGAAGTCCTTAGATTATAGAAATGTTTGATAATATTTTTTGCTGTAGCCTCACTGCCTAGTTTAGCATTGGGCATATATTATATCTTTAAGGTGTCTTGATTTTGAAAGAATGTGTTAATAAGTATAAATTGTAACTTCTAACTTTACTCCTCCCACTCTGCTATCCTCAGATAATTTCACCTTAGATAATTTTGACCTAAGATAAGGGAGTACTAAGTGTTACGGTGTTTTAGTTAACCACATTTATGAAGTCCTCTTTCATCATTAAAGTTTTCATCCAAATTTACTAAAAAACTGTGATTCAGGTCAAAATATTTACTCGTTTTAGTCAGCAGCAATGTTAATTGGATTCTGGATCTATTACTACTTTTTCCTAATTTATCAATTTTAAGACAGTTTTGAATACAAAATACTTAAAGAGAAGAATTATAGAAGCATGGTGATGTTATTATAGTTATTGAGAAGTAGGAGTACGAGACTGTTCTGTAATGGAGAGTGCAGTCTTATCAAGGAATTTCTCAAATATACTTCAGTCAGCAGTTCAGGAACTGGTAGATAGTCATAAGACCTTAAAAACCTCTACCAACATGAGAAATAGAGAACTATAAGAATTAAAGAAGGAAAATAACTGAATTTTTTTCTTCTAAAATCAGGCAGGATAAAAATAGATAATTTACTAAAATGTAAAATCATAAGCTAATTAGCATTATTGGAAAGACTAATTACAATATAGTAGCATAATACTGTAGTAGGACTAAGCTGTAATTTAAAAAATTATTCAGCTCTATGATTAACCTTGCTGGTGTTCACACTGATCATCTGAGGGTCTTTCCAGCTTCATGATCAGTACTGTAGGTGCTTAGGCAGTGTGGAAGAAACTGCTGTTCATAAAGTAGTTTATAATCTTGTTGGAGAGACCACATGTATGTGCAGAGGCAGCGTAGCATGATGGCTACGTACACAAATTCTAGAACCAGATTGGCTGTGTGCCCCTGGGCGCTTAACTTCTGTGCCTCAGCTTCTACAAATTTAAAATGAAGATGATAATATTACTCCTTCTTCATAAGTTGTTGAGAGGATTAAAAGAAATAATACATGTGAAGTGCCTAGAAAAGTAACTGGCACATAGTAAATGCTATCTAAATGTTTTTTCCTTTGACTAGAATGTAAGGTCCAGATAATTTGTTAAATGAACAATTAATAGCTAGATGATAGCAATGTAAAGACTCTACATGATTGAGTGAAAAAAATATGTGGACATTATATACCCTGTTTGAGAATTCAAATGAGGGTAGAAACTAATGTGAGTTGTTTCAGAATTTCTCTAAAATCACATAGGTGACTTGAAGCTTATGCTCAGTAGTAAAATACGAATTGAATTTGAATAGGTAGAAATGAGTCTAGGAGGAAATGAATAGGAGAGGAGGACAAGCTCTGTTGGCTTAATCAGCTATGTTTTCGATCAGGATGATTGGTTTTGTTACCCTAACGGGATTGGTTTTAGGTAATGAGTTCATTGAGTTCATTTGGTTTCCTAGAATCTTCAACTCCAGAATTGCAGCAAATTTCTGAAAATAGGTTAAGATAGACATTAAACATATTTATTCTGTTTATGCTGAGACTTTATAAAATATAATTTGAAAACTGTTCATGTTTTGGGATCATTGTCACCGGTTAAAAACCATTTTTTATTTTTTTTAAACACATTGATATCTTCACTCTTATATTTTCTAGGTAATTAATAATGCTTGTGCTACTCAAGCCATAGTGAGTGTGTTACTGAACTGTACCCACCAGGATGTCCATTTAGGCGAGACATTATCAGAGTTTAAAGAATTTTCACAAAGTTTTGATGCAGCTGTGAGTACAACCTTCTTATTCCTAAAATGTCATATTTGTGAAAGTTTGTGTATTAATAGGCTACTTTAAAAAATTATTTTAGATGAAAGGCTTGGCACTGAGCAATTCAGATGTGATTCGACAAGTACACAACAGTTTCGCCAGGTAAAGAGACTTTATGTTAAATAAATACTGTTTCTTTCTTTGCTTCTTTGAGTCTCACTATTTTTTTATTTACTATAGACAGCAAATGTTTGAATTTGATACGAAGACATCAGCAAAAGAAGAAGATGCTTTTCATTTTGTCAGTTATGTTCCTGTTAATGGAAGACTGTATGAATTAGATGGATTAAGAGAAGGACCAATTGATTTAGGTAATGCAGTTCCTGTCCCTGATGTTTCACTTTTGACAGAGGAAAATCTGTTGGGTATTCACCCTCATTTTAGTCACAGTGCTGCTTAAATTTTCAAGGTAAAAGTGACTATGAGGCAACATAAAATAATGAAGGCCTTAAGCTCTTCAGTATGTTATATTAATATACAGGAAGGACATGTTGACTACTATAGTTCATTTGAGGCCTTTGAGTTTTTCCCAAGTAAAATTAGTTTTTAACCTATAGGTTACATAATTTATATTTTATTTTCCATTTAGCATTTAAAAACTACCCTTAGTGAACTTAAATAGTTATTCTTGTCATTTTTAACCCATTCATAAAGGATAGCAAACATTTCTTGTCATCTGTATTGAAGTATTTTCATTTGGAAGTGTATAATTTATTGTTTTGCAATCAAGAAAATATTTTTCTTAAAAGTTCTCTATTTAAATAGTGCATGAATGTGTTATCCTTTGTGCCAAAGCATAGATTTGTTCTGATCCCACCCCATCTCTAATGCTGAGCAAAAAATGATAAACACTTATCAAGGTTGAGGGTACAATCTGTGGCTCTAAAAGATTACTGAAATAATAGGTTCACAAAATAATTTTAACTCCTTATTTTGACTTCATTAAATTTTGTTTTTCTTTTTTTAATATTAGGTTTGAAGTCCAACACAACTTGTTTTAGTTGAATCTAATGTTACAGGCTATTCATAAAACTGTTCGATTTTAAAACTGTTTTAGATTTTTAAAAAATTAACGTGGGTTCATTTTGTTTGTACTTTTTGCCATTCCACATGCGTGGAACCAATCAGTAGTTTATCTAATGCAGATTTACATGCTGCCTCTATATTTAAAAATGCTTACTTTTCTATGTCTGTTATAAAAATTTATTTATGGAATTGAAACAACATAATTATACTAAGAAGAGTTTTACTGCTCTAAATTTGTTAAAGTATTTGTAGAAAAATATTTGGGGCCAAACTTTTGCATGTTAAAGTTGATTGTTCTTATTTTTATTTGTGTTAACTGTTTTAAAATTTCTTTCTAGGTGCATGCAATCAAGATGATTGGATCAGTGCAGTAAGGCCTGTCATAGAAAAAAGGATACAAAAGTAAATGCTCAGCTAATCTTATTGGCATAATATTCTGTTTTTTAAGTATTTTTTAAACTTGTATTTTATTGTTATTTTAGCAGTGTGCATTGAACATCTACTTTTTTTTTTTTTTTTTTTAATTTTTTGTAGAGACGGGTTTTCACCATGTTGCCCAGGCTGGTCTCAGACTCCTGAGCTCAAGCCATCCGCATGCCTCGACCTCCCAAAGTGGTAGGATTACAGGCGTGAGCCACTGTGCCCAGCCAAACATCTACTTTTGATTGGGTTAATGCGTTTAAGAAGTCTATTTCAGAAAATCTCTAAATTTCATGTAGTAGTATGTCATCTTGTCTTTAGAGAAGTTAAACATGCAGATTTCCATTAAGTTAAATAATTGTTTATTTGTTTTTTTTATTTTTTGAGACAGTATCTCACTCGGTTGCCCAGGCTGGAGGACAGTGGTGCAATCTCGGCTTACTGCAACCTCTGCCTCCCGGGTTCAAGCGATTCTCGTGTCTCAGCATCCCGAATAGCTGGGATTATGGGCACATGCCACCACACCCAGCTAATTTTTATATTTTCAGTAGAGATGGGGTTTCACCATGTTGTCCAGGCTTGTCTCAAACTCCTGACCTCAAGTGATCTGCCAGCCTTGGCCTCCCAAAGTGCTGGGATTACAGGCATGAGCCACTGTGCCCAGCTAGATATTTTGTACTGTTGGATAATTGTACAGCTATTTTACAGAGTTTTGTTTTTGAGGGTTTATTTTTAATATTAAGCTCTTTATTTTTGGGTAATTATATATTCAATTTCAGATAATTATATACATTCAGTTGTAAGAAATAATACAGAGACATCATGTGTATTTTTTATCTTTCAATGGCAACATCTTGCAAAACTACAGTGTAATATCACAGCCAAGATAGTGGCATTGATGTAGTCAAGATACAGAAAATTTGCTCTCCACAAAGATCCCTTATGTTGTTCTTTTTAGGCACAAACACTTGTCTCCCCTACTGCCTTTCCCTTTCCTTCACTCCTTAATCCCTAATTCTATAATTTTTGTGATTTAAAGAAAGCTATATATGAATTTTACAATATGTAACCTTTTTGCCTTAGCTTTTTCACTCGGTTTAATTCTCTGGAGATTCATCCAAGTTATTAAGTGTATCAGTAGTTCATTTTTTATTCATAAATGGTATTCTGTGATATGGATATACCATTTTTTTGCCTGTTCATCCATTGAAGGACATCTGGATTGTTTTCTATTTTTTGGCTACTGCGAATAAAACTACAATAAATGTTCTTGTGCAGATTTTTTGTGACTACAGGTTTTCATTTCTCTGGGATAAATGCCTATGAGTGTCATTGCTGGGTTGCATGGTAAATGGGTATTTATTTTTTTAAGGAACTACCAAACTCTTTTCTAGAGTGACTGTATCATTTTATATTTTACCAGCAATATATTAATGGTCTAGTTCCTCTGCGTCCTTTTTAGGATTTGGTGTTATCACCATTTTTATTTTAACCATTCTGACAGATGTATAGTGATACTTCATTGTGGTTTTAATCTGCATTTCCCCAATGACTAATGACGTTGAAAATCTTTTTGTGCCTTTAGCTCATTTTCTGATTGGATTGTTTTTTTGACTCTTGAGCCTGAAGTTCTTTACGTAATTTAGATACTAATCCTTCATCAAACACATTGCCTGCAAATATTCTTTCCCAGTCTGTAGCCCATCCCCTCGTACTCCCAAAATGGTCTTTCACACAGCAAAAGGTCTTAATCATGATGAAGTACAGTTTATCAATATTTCACACAATGAATTGTGTTTTTGTTGTCAAGTCTAAGATTTCTTTGTCTTGATGTAGAGACCGTATATTTTTTTCCTGTGTTATTTTCTTAAAAGTTTATAGTTTAATGTTTTACATGTAAGTGTATGATGTATTTTGAGTTAATTTTTGTATATGGTATGACATTTAGGTCAAGGGTCTTTTTTTTTTTTTTTGCCTGTACATATTCAATTACTCAGGCACCAGTGGTTGAAAAGGCTATCCTTCCTCCACTGAATTCCTCCTGCACCTTTGCAAAAATGGAGCATATTTGTGTGGGTCTATTTCTGGGCTCACTGTTCTGTCCATTGTTCCATTTATCTGTTCCTCTGCCGGTACTACATTGTGTAGATTACTGTAAGTCTTGAAATCAGGTAAATGGATGCCTTTCATTGTATTCTTCTTTACAAAATTGTTTTGACTATTATAGTTCCTCTGCCTTCCCATATAAATTTTATTATAATCTCTATATCTATAAAAGTAAGACTTTGGATCTTTTGTTTTTTTTCATACTTTAAGTTCTAGGGTACATATGCACAACATGCAGGTTTGTTAGATATGTATACATGTGCCATGTTGGTGTGCTGCACCCATTAATTCGTCATTTACATTAGGTATATCTCCTAATGCTATCCCTCCCCCTACCCCATCCCCATAATAGGCCCTGGTGTGTGATGTTCCCCTTCCTGTGTCCAAGCAATCTCATTTTTCAGTTCCCACCTATGAGTGAGAACATGCGGTATTTGGTTTTCTGTTCTTGCGATAGTTTGCTGAGAATCATGGTTTCCAGCTGCATCCATGTCCCTACAAAGGACACAAGCTCATCCTTTTTTATGGCTGCGTAGTATTCCATGGTGTATATGTGCCACATTTTCTTAATCCAGTCCGTCACTGATGGACATTTGGGTTGATTCCACGTCTTTGCTATTGTGAATAGTGCCGCAATAAACATATGTGTGTATGTGTCTTTATAGCAGCATGATTTATAATCCTTTGGGTATATCCCCAGTAATGGGATGGCTGGGTCAAATGGTATTTCTAGTTCTAGATCCTTGAGGAATCGCCACACTGTTTTCCACAATGGTTGAACTAGTTTACA